ACTGGGGTACAGGCCAGAGGTGTGGGGGATGAGAGGATTCACCAGAGACACAGTGGGGAACAGAACAGGCAGCTTGACTGAAATACACTATGAGGGGAGCAGCGGGTGAGTCAGGAGAGGTCTGCTGTGCCATGTGGGTATCTCTCTGGCCAGGGATCGAACTCGTGCTGCAGTGGCTGCGGTCGGGTACATAGGTTGCGTCTTAACCCCTTGTACCACCAGGGAGGCCCAGTGTTTAAAATCTTAATGATAATGTTATAAACACCACACCCACCCTCCCTGTTACCCCATGGTTCAGTCACAGAGACTTTCATACCTATTTGCTACTGAGAAATTGATGTGACCTTATTTTGCAGGGCAGTTTGGAACTATATGTTAAACACATAGTAAGCATGTAATACTCTCCAGTATTCTTATTGGAGGAATTTATTCTATAGCAAAGTTCACACAAGTTTTATGAGAATTGTCCTCATTCCTTTTGAAATCACAGAAAACAACTAATGTCCATTGGGTACAGATTAGGAAGTATTCAGTACAATTCTACGTGCTAAAATACAAAGACCTGTGACACATTTTAAGTAAAAATTGAAAATGGTAAAATTGCATGTATAATATAATTCAATTTTTTTAAAAATAAATTTTAATTAGAAAGTATAGACATATATACTTTAAGTATAGAAAATATAACAAAACAAACTGATAAATAAATAAAATCACTTTTGGGAATTTTGAAGGAATTTGCAGGATGAAGATGCCTGTTAATGCCAGGAGAGAGCACTTGAAAAAGAGGGATGGATATATATTTAAATTCTCCAAGTTTATCCTAACACCTGGTCTGTGGCTTTGTTTTCATGAATTGCAAAACAGTCAGGGATTATAATCAATATTGTAGCTACCACAAGTAGCTAATTCACTGGAATAAGCACCATCCATGGTAGATAAAGGATACTTTACTTATGTTGAGTGTATGACAAATAAATGATTTTTCTTTCCCCTACCTTCACTGTATTGCACTTCAGTGTATTCAGGCACTTTCATTTTAATTGCATAGCAAAAAAGAAAAAAAAAATGACTGCTGAGTTTAAGTAAAATAGCATTCCATTTATGTGGAAGTATAGAAAGGCAAACTATTGCTATTAAAATAGCAAAAGGCTTTGAAAACATAGGAATGTCATATATTAATCCAGTACTGCTTCAGGTGTTGACCCTGAACCAGCGCATCAACAACACCAGGGAATATTATAGATAAAATTCTGAGGGCCACTGAATCAAACTCTGAGGTTGAGTCCCAGCAATTTGTCTTTTATTGGCCTTCCAGGCGATTCTGATGCAAGCTAAAATTTCAGTAGCTTTAATCTATAAGAATCCAAATGATGGGTGAAGAACAAGAAAAGGAACAACTGAAGATATTGATCCAGTTTCTTTCTGAATTTTCTGAGGTTTATAATTCAGATATAGGCCTAACATCTGTAAGAGTGCACTCACATCCAAACAACACCTATTTTCATTTCTTCCTGGTGAGTCAAATGTTGATGAAGCTAACTCTATGGGAGCATCAAGGCTTCTTAAAACACCCAACTTTCACAGAAGCTAGCAAATAATGAGCAATGGGCTCTAGAATGTTCCAATGAAGTAATGCACAAAACCATTTGATAGCATCTGGCTACAGGTCAAATTGCCTCAATATCAAAAGCTGATGTTTGGGTGGATACATTAGGATTGTGTTGGCACAGTCATCAAGATGAATGTGCCATGGGGTGAACCTGAAATGTGCCTTATTCATCCACTGTTATTATTGAAACCATATCCATGATTATGATATCCACTTGTGAATGCTAAACATCTGGAGCATTTATTTTTCTTTTTAATAAAATGTAATGTGGGTTCAGCCACTTTGGAGGATAGTTTGGTAATCAATTACAAAGCTAAAAAGAGTCTAACCATATAATCCAGTAGTCAGGCTCCTAAGTATTTACCTAACCAATTTGAGAATTTATGTCTAAGCAAATACCTGCACCTGGATATGTATAGCAGCTATATTCATAATCACCAAAATCTTGAAGCAACCGAGATGTCCTTCAAAAAAGAGAATGGATAAATGAAATGTGGCATGTCCTTATAGTAGAATATCATTTAGTGATAAAAAGGCTCGAGTTACCAATGCAAGCAATGCTACGAATGAATCTTAAAGCATACTATTATGTAGGAAAAAGTTGTTGAAAAGGCTATGTATTATATGATTCCATTTATATTCTGGGAAAGGTAAAACTATTGAGATGTTAAACAGACCAGTACTTGCCACCAATGGGTTCATTTGGGGGCATACTAAACAAGGTGCTGATCTTTGCTCATGTGCATATTTTGCAGTTATGTCAGGCATGGCATTTTGTTAACACATTTTATGATCAAGACAGAAATTTAGACATCTCAGTTGTCAATGAAGAAAGGTGGAAAATGCTTTTTCTACCTCCCTTGGTGCAGACAAACCCCTCCCCCCAAACTCAGAATTCTATTGAAACTTCTAGTTTTCTGGGAAATGTAGGCGCTTGTTTTATTCACTTCCCTTAACAGTTGTGGCAACTTTCTTGATCCCCACAAATAACTGGCTTCCCTACAGAGCCCTTTTTAAAATATGTAAACAGTGGCGTTCACAATTTATCATCTCTGTTCCCTAAAATTCATTCTACTTTTTAAAAACTTCACGGATGATAGTAATCTTTCATTGTTCCTCTCATCATAGTGAACATTACCCTGCCTCTATATATGTTATAGACACACACACACATATACAGACATATATATATATATATATATATATATATATTTGAACAATAGTTCCTTCTAGTATTCATTGGACTATCTCCCAAATTTTCTGCTAAATCATTAACAAAACTGGTATTTATTGTAGACCTACTGTATGTCAGACAGTAACTTAGGCTTCTAGATACAGTAGTGTAAACAGTAGACAAAGTTCCCTCCTCTCATGGAATTTGAATTCTGATTGGTGTAGATGGGAAAGAGGAAGATTACAGAGAATTAACAAGTTATATGACATCAGATGGTGATAATATCTGTGAAGAAAACCAAAAGAAAACAAGTTGAGAAAGACTGAAGAGTGTATTTAATAAATGTCTCCTGATAAGGACAAATAAGGAATATTCTTGATATCAAAAAGACAGATCTCAGGTGAATTGGTGGAGGAAAGTCTATGGGGACTACACCTGAGGCTGTGGACAGTGGCGCTCAACCGCTGCACCACCAGGGAGGCCCCAGGGCTGCATATTTGAACAAGCTTCCCACATGCAACTAATATGGATCAAGTTTGAGAACTACTGATGTAGCAGAAGCTCATCGCACATGGAAATACTAGCAAGTACAAAGGCAGCCAGAAAAGAGTATGTTTATATTGTTTGAGGACCAGCCTAGAGACCAAGGTGGCTAAAGCAGAATGAGCAATAAAAATCCTCGAGGAGATGCAAGTATAGATGGGTGTGGGAATTGGGGAAGCAGACTGTGCTGTGACTTGTGGACCAGATATGACCTTGCTTTTTATTCTGAGCTGAGCAACCTGTGGAGTACAATGAGAGAGTAACGACACTGGCATTTTTTAAGAGGATCTCTCCATTGTGTGGCTGGTAAACTCTAGGTGTGACCTGGAAGAAGCAGACAAAAGGTTATTGCATTAATCCAGGTCAAGGATATAACTTGGAGAAAAGAACATTTTTGGAGGTTAGGGGACAAGTTAAATATGATAAGTCATTAGACATCTCAGCTGAATAGTTAAGTAGACTTAGTGTTCAGGTTTACATTTCAGGGAACAAGTTGGGGCAGAAAAAATTAATTTGGGCATTTTCAGGATATAGTAGCTTTTCAAAGCCATAAGACTTGTGTGATATTGCAATTTATAGCAAGATACCTGTATTTGGTTTTAGTCCCCCCTTTTGGTAAAGAGTTCCCAAAACCCTTGGAATATCACGGAAAGAACAATAAAGGCATCCACAGTTATATTAATGAGGTGACATTTGGAAATCACCCAAGGATGGGGGCTCCTTGCCATGGTGCCAATCATGTGACTAGAGTTATGGGAATTTCAGTCCCACCCCAGACCGCCTCCTGGGGGAGGAGAGAGGTGGAGGTTGAGTCAGTCACCAACAGTCAATGAGTTCATCAATCATGTCGGTGCAATTAAACCTCAAAAAACCAAAGGAGGATTTGTAGAGCTGCTGGGTTGGTGAACGTGTGGATTTGGGGGGGCTAAGAAATCATGGATGCGCTGCCCCTTCCCTCACACCTTGCCCTTGCAGCACCTCTGAGAGCCTCTTCCTGAGTTCATTTCCTTTATAATAAGCTAGCAATCTAGTGAGTAAAATGTTTCTCTGAGTTCTTTCAGCTGTTCCACTAGCACATAAGCTGGGGGGCATGGGAACCTATGATTTACAGCCAGTGGGGTTGAAGTATAGACAGTGACCTGGACTTGAAATTGGCATCAGGAGTCCAGGGAAGGGACTATAGGAATTTCCAGTCTGCACCTGCTTGCTCCGAAGCACAGGTAACCCCTTGGCCTTCTGACTGGTGTCTGAGGGGGGTCAGCATTGGGAGTCAGCCTGTGGAAGCGCGTGCTTGATCTCCTGGCAGGTAGGGTTAGAATTGAGTTTATAGGGCAGACAGCTGGGTCTGCGGATGCGCGTGTATGTGGAGACTATTTCCCCACATACATATTGGAAATTGGTCACAAAACACTCACTTAACTAAATAAGGTCTAGGAAGTGAGTACAAAATGAGAAGAGAAACCTGTTCTCAGGCCTAGACCCTCTGATGAGGGGATGAGAAAGACCCTCTGATGAGTCAGTGTAGTGTGGAAAAAGAGAGTGTGGTGACTTAAAGGCCAAATGAAGAGCTTTTAACTGTTTTATATCAAAACTGCTGCATAATGAAGATGAGAATTGTATAGTATGTGTACAGTGGGTAGGGTGACACATTGTTCATTTGTATCTCATCAGGAGCAGTTGTGATGGAGGGCTGGATGCAAAATGATGACTGCGTCAGGGGTGCAACAGAATTACTTTAGAAGTGGCAGTGGTGAGTACAGGCAACTCAAGTGACGCTGTAGCAGAAAGCAAAGTAATTGGATTATATCTCAAGTAGACTGTTGTTGGATTTTGGTTTATTTCAGACAGAGGCTGTCCCTGGGTGATGGCTTGATAATGAAGATGATGCACTGGAAAGGGAGGAAGTGCCGAAGCATGTCAGGGAGGGAGAAGTTTTCCTCTGCCTTATGTTCAGTTAATGGGGCCGGGCAAATTAAATAAAAGAGTCACAGGAGAAAAGGGCAGCGTTTTCATCATGTACGTGCATAGGAGTTCACTGCAAAGTTAGACTTGGGCTTTATGTGCCTTTTTAACATGTGAAAAGGGAAGAGGGTTTGGGCTTCAAACCCAATGATGGTCTATTATGGGGAGTCACCGGGAAGCGTATGGGGGAGCTAATGGGAAATAAGTCTGTTTTGTTTATGCAAACTTGTCAGCTGTCCTCCAGGGATAAAGTTCTCTTCTCTTCCTGGAATGAGGGATGGGAGGAAAGGAAATACCTTCATTTAGGGAAATTATGGCCTGCTTTTTGACAGTTAAGGGGAAAACTGTATCTGTGTTCAGTTGCCTTCCACTCAACATAATCCTTAGGCCAAAATGGCGTATTTTGCTGTAGCACATTTGTGATCTCTCATGAGAGAAGAGGTCCCCTTAAGCACAATTTCATAAAGCAAGAAGAGGCGATGGAATCCAGTGTGCACACTGAGAGGCGGGTTTCGTACCACAGAACGTTCTGCCACAGCCGGGACAGGAGGTAAGAGTGATGGATTTAGTAGTCCTGCGAGAGCTTGAACATAGGCTTTGGTCTGCTTCTATACTTCTCGGTGCGATCACAATCACCAGCTGAATGTGGGCAGGACATTGGGAACTTTAAGGGGAGAGGAAAGTTGTGGAATAATCTGGCTTACCTAAGTTGTTCTGTTCTAGTTGTGGTATCGACTGGTACATTTAGTGTCTGTGTTCTGATGCCCCTCTCGCCCATCAAGATTTATTTAATTCATTTCTGTTAAAGATTAGTAGGAGAGTTGTTTTGTTGTTATTACTGCAGGACCCAAGCTGAAGGAAGATATATTGGAGGTGTTTTCCTTCTCATCGGGGCAGTTGGTGGTAAACTCCAGTGTCTCACACAATACATGCCACCTTTGCCCACACTCATGAAGCGGTAGTCATATGATTATTTTAATCTTCAAGGAGTTGGGGAGGGATAATCTTCACATGGGTCTTAGAAGAAAGGGAACGAGCTACCAGCCATCATTATGCACTCAGCAACACAAGGCTCATCTGATACGAATTTAAAGATTTATGTAGAATATCCACAGAGTCAAATCCAGAGGAGTATTGTTTATAATGAGAATGTTTTGTGCTTAGTAATGTTTTTAAGTGTCTTTATCCCACTACTTTAAGACTAAGACAAGCATTGATTGGTTTTGCCTTGGCTTTGGGGGTTCCCTCTCATACCAATATATTTGATTTTGAATTAAATGACCATTTAGGAAACAAGAAATCATGCGACAGTCATGCATATTCCAGTTCTCACAACAAAGCAATAAAGTCAGTCTATCCATCGGCATAAAAAAAGCGTAAGAAATATGTAGGAAATAATCACTCCCAAATACTTCTGGACAACCATGTGCTAGTAGGAACCGAATTAAGATTTGACCCCAGGAACTACTAACTCTAAAAGCAGAGCAGTTTCCCCTGTGAGACATCATTTCCCTTATTAGCCATGACAAGTGGAATGAGATTTCCTATGTAGACGCAGGTACAAATTACAGGTCGTTGCCGTGGTTCTGTAATTCACGACAAAGACACATGTCTGCTTCTGTGTTTCTTTTCTTGTACATTGAAAAGAAAGGACTAGCTGGTGTTTGAAGACACAGTGGACCTGAGGTGGGCATGAAGATAGCTAGACTCATGCATTGCTCCAGTATATCCCAGCAAGGAACTGAGTCTCCATCCCATCCTATGCCAAACAGGGTCTTCTCCTTCTTCCTCTTCATTCGTCAGAGATATTGAAATGAGGCAGTTTATATAAAGGCAGTGCACACAACTCCACATTCTTTCATCTCTAGTATTGAATACCAAATTTGTCGCAACACTATTGTAGGGACTTGAAATAAAGTACTGGGGGAAAAAAAATGCCCGTCTTCACAGAGCATTGAAAGCAAAATGAGGATTATTGGAGTCAGTTTCTTTCCTTTTCTCCACATAAAGTCTCTTTCCCTTCCAAAAATCCTTCTATATTCACTCTCCTTTTCTTCCCAAACCCTCCCTATTCTTTGATTAGTGTGGAGTGCTATGGAGTGTCCATTTTTTCATTAGTGTTTAAAGATAAAATGAAACTCTGTCTTGTTCCCTTTATAACCTACTTAAAGTACAGAAAAGGACAGTTATATGTTAAGGCTGCAGTTTGTAACCACAGAGCTAACAAAATGTGAGCGTCGCAACATAAGAACAAAATCTTTCAACACAAGGTAACAATTTAAGAACTTTCTCCCTCATTTACTGTAGCTATATCTGTATCATTTTCTTTATTGAAACATTTGAAATTAAATGGTGGCTATGTTGACATTAAATCATACATACTCCCATCTGGTGTGTCTGCTAAGGATCGGGGCATTCTCCTGCGTAAGCTCCAGAGGTCTCACTCCCAATGAACTTAATGATACAATAATTTTTGTCAACATAGAGTTCATATTCATGTTTCCCTGTGTGCTCTTTCCAGATTGTTGTTTCTGACCCACAATCCAATCCAAGGGTCGCTTACTGCATTTGCTATCTCTCTTTAACTTCTTTTTGTCTAGAAAATTCCTGCCACTCTTTATCTTTCATGATGGTGATATTTTTGAAGAATTCAGGTCAATTGGTTTGTAGAATGTCCTGTGTTTTTATTATCTAAACGTCTCCTCTTGATTAGATCCATTGTAAATATTTTATAAGAATTCTATAAATGTAACATTGTATACTTCTCATTATAGGGTATCAGAAAGCATATAATGCCAGTTTGTCCCATTATGGTTATGCCAATTTGAAGAGTGAATTAAGATGGTATTTTCTAGTTTTCTTCATTGTAGAGGTATTTTTTATCCATTGTGATTAATCAGCAACTTAGGGCTTCATACAATGAGACCATGTTAATATTTTGTACTCCTACAGTATTTCACCTAATGGTGTTAGCCTCTGTGAATGATTCTTGCCTAATAATTGTATTAATGGCTGCAAAGGTCATTGGTGATTTTCCAGTAGCAGTGTTACATATAAATTTATTAGCATTTTCTGCAATGAAGATTTTTCCTTGGTCTTTTTGTTTTTTAAAATTACTTTATACTCAGTGATTTTTTAATATTCTATACTCATGATGATATAAACTATCACCATTATTATTCTTTTCAATGTTCACATTGTTGTAAGTTGACCTGTAAGAGCCCTGTCAAGGGAACTCTCGTTTCCCTTTGGTGTCACCTAATGTGGTATTTTAAATGTTAATTTAAAACTTCACTTCTTAAAACATCGTATTACACCAGTGGCAAAATGATTTCTTTAATGTTCCCTCTAATAAGTTAGAAATGATAATTCTAAGCTTATTTCCCCATTTTATCCAACAGAATGGGTAGACTAAAAGAAAAAAAAAAAAAGATTAAATCACTTCTTGAGTGATGAACTACTCTGTACAAACCAAACATAAACCACCTGTATCACAGCTGTTCTCACCAGCATTGGTGTCATTGCTGATCATTCTGGAAAAAATATAGCTGTGACCTTTTAATGAGGGTTAATTATAAAGTGGAAAATTTCACAACTCTCAGGAAGCTTAGTAGTGTTTTTGAAATCATATGGGTGATGGGTAGTGATGATTTATCACTGTACAAAGTTGCTGAAAAAGTCTCAAAGTCCTGATAATTTTTTATCATTGGTATAAAGTATATTATTTTTTAATTGACAACATTTTCTTTAGCTGAGAAATGAGCCACACCATCTATCAGGCAGGAAGCTTGTTTAAAAATTGCTGCTGTGTGTTTGTAGTACATGTTTAATCTTTGGTTTTCTATGACTCCTGAAGTTCGCTGTTTCAACATTTCTGTGTAGAGAGTAAATGGCTCATCATTTTGAATGTTTGTTGCTTGATATTTTATGTAAGTATTTACAGTGAATGCTTACCCTTTGGGCTTAACTGCATGAAATTATTTTGCCATCTGAGTATAACTTTCACAAGGTAATAAATGACCTTTACAGTTCTAGCCTCATGTGTGGCACTTATCATATTCAGTAAATATTTTTGTAAGGAAATTGATGAAGAATTTGAGAAAAATAAAAAATGCAACAGAGTGTGATGGTGTCTAATAACGGTGCACCTTATGTTCCCTTTTTGTCCTGTAGCCAGGCCTCAATCCCTCACCCATGTGTTGCAAAGCTGGACCCTGGCTATGCTAAAATAAGCAACCCAGCAGACAGGGTGGAAGGTGTGGTAAAAACAGACAAGAAATGCTTTCCAGATAAGAAGGACAAGGGTCAGGATACAGGCTAAGTGAGAAATAACTCCTTCGTTGTGAGCGCGTAAGAGTATCATAATCACATTAAGTATTATCAGTTCAGAGTTGGGGGATATGGGTTGATGGTGAGGAAATAGCCTTTATGAAATTTTGACCCTCTTGAAGCCAGTGATACTTCACAAGAACACTGTACATTGATTCAGCTTTCTCCCCTTCGCTGAAAATGCTTACTGGCTTCAGAGTTCTGTCAGGGAATCCAGAAAACCTAAAATTTTATAACCATTCTCCTTAACAAAAGCCCTTGGATTATGAGCTTTTCCAAAATAATGAATAAATCCCCTATTAAGATATTTTTAAAACATCTTAAGAGAACTAGGCTCTTTTCTGAACTCTAGTAAGACCTATTTGTTTGGAATACATCCCAGATGCCCCTGTGGTCAAGAAGAAAAAGCTATGCTAAACAAAAATACTTGCTGTTCTCAATCTAGGTAGGAACCTTGTTTCTGATCAAGAAATTGACAACTCACACAGAGTGCACTTCTTCCTGATCTAAATTCAGCAAATAGTTTCCTGGATAAGGGTTCACTTTAATTTAAGAACAACATCTATGCATAGTTGCTGCATCTTCCTCCGTGAAGTGACTTCATGGTCACTACCTGGCGTGATTAATTACACTTCAGCATTGTATGTTTGTCTGCTTATTTAATCGTTGAACTTATCTTCCATTAGAATATAATTTCCATGAGGGCAAGGAAATTTACAACTATGTCATCAACACCAGAAAAGGTAGGCTGGTTCAGAGTGGATGCTTAATAAACATTTATTGTCGAATGGAACACAGGTGCTTACATGATTATGTGGGCTTAGGCACATGGAGCATCTGCCCCATTCTTTACTGCACCGTTCATCTGAAGCAGAATACAGTATTGCCCTCATGCAAAATTATTATTTTTTTTCCATATTAGATAATTCATAACTGTAAAGTCTAAAACTGTAAGACACTATATACAAATGTTTGATAGCATTACAGCAAAAACTACAAGGGATTCCAGCTTCTTTCTCAATTTCTTTTTTTTTTAAATGGTTTGATACCTTTTTTTTTTAAGCAGAGATTTTTTTTTAAAGATTTATTTATTTATTTATTTTTAAATAATAAATTTTATTTTTATATTCCCCATACAATTGCAAATGCCCCATTCTGACCCCAATCCTTCCCCTCCCGCCCCCCACCCCCCAAACACTGTCTCTGGTTCATAGTTTTCTGTTGATTTTGATTTTCACTTTCTTATATTCATTTTCCTGGTCCTTATTTAAGTTCTCTAGATTCCTGCTATGAGTGAGACCA